TCTATCTATCTATCTATCTATCTATCTATCTATCTGTCTATCTATCTATCTATCTATCTATCTATCTATCTATCTATCTATCTATCTATCTATCTATCGGTCTGTCTGTCTATCTGTCTGTCTATCTATCTGTCAATCGGTCTGTCTGTCTGTCAATCTATCGGTCTATCTGTCTGTCTGTCTGTTTGTCTATCTGTCTCTATCTATCTATCTATCGGTCTATCTATCTAACGGTCTATCTGTCTGTCTATCTATCTATCTATCTATCTATCTATCTATCTATCTATCTATCTATCTATCTATCTATCTATCGGTCTATCTGTCTGTCTGTCTGTCTATCCATCCATCCATATAAATATATATATATATCAGTGGTTACAATACAAAAATGGTCCTAAAATAGGTTCCTTTTATTATTTAACATAAAATACTTAATATTTTAATGACATGAATTCTTTTATTTTGATAAGCTTCAGTTGACATAAAATGTATCACATTCATATCAAATAATTTCATTATCAGTTATTTTAAAATAATAGTCATGTCTAATTAATCAGTAGAATTTACCAGGAAAATCGTCCCCTCCAAGTTTAAATTAAAATGTTATAATACACAAAACTGTTGCCTTATTAGACAAGTCATTTGCAATCAAGCTCAACATGTAACGTCAACACAAAGACTAATTGTGATCTATATGTTTGTGTTGGGTTGTAAACAGAAAAATGCTTTTCTTACTTTTGTATTTTGTTTCCAATCCAAATTTAAAAAATTTCTTAAATCAAGATGCATTTACTAAAGTAGTAAAATGACATAAGATATTAAAGTCTTGTTAAAAATTTAAATTTATTGCTTAAAAAAAGCACAATTATCTGCCAATGGGGTGAAAAAAATAATGTTGTTTCTGTTTGAATTAAGATTATTTTTCTTACTCCATTGGCAGATAATTTTGCTTTTTTAAAGCATCAACTCACTTAATTTTGATTAATTCCTCAAGAAAACAGGACTTCATATCTTATGTAATTTTACTCATCTAGTAAATGCATCTTGATTTAAGAATTTTTTTATATTTGGACTGGAAACAAGACAGAAATACTAGGTAAGAAAAGGATTTTTTGCAGTGTGGATTACACAATCAGAGGTTATCAAATAAACAAAGTACTTGGAATTAAAATTTGGAGTGAGATAAGAAGTATTTAAGCTTAGAATGTGTTGTTTGCCGTCCTCAGTCTCTCAGCGGCCATGTTTGAGGCGTGATCTCCTTCATGTCGAACTCTCGGATGGCAAACGTCACTTCACGCCATTTCCTGAAGTAAAACTGCTCTTGAGTGACACGATCCTGCACCACGAAACTCTCGATCTTCAACAGCGGCAGGTCCTGGAGTCACAACACAACAACAATACATGCGTTTATGATCCGATACTGATCATCAGAATCAGCGTTCAACACACTTAAACTTAGAGTCGAATTGGGTTCTGTCAGACCTTTATTTTTTAAATGTTTAAGATTTACATAATATATCTGTTCTTGACGTTTTTTTTTATTTCAGTTTCATCTTCTCAGAATCAGGGTTATTATTTAACTTATACTAATTATACTTATACTAAATAATTATAAAAAATTAACTGAAATAAAATTATGAAAACTTAAATTTATTGTATTTCAGCTGGTTGTCAAGGCACCATTTATAATCACAAGTTCAAGTACTAAAATAACTAAAACTGACAACTAACTAAAAAACTATATAGACATTTAAAAAAAAAGGCAAAATAAATAAAACTTAAAACAAAAACTACACTGACAAATTTAAAAATAAATAAACAAATAAATTAATAAACAGTATAAACACACACAACAAGAATTACAAAAACTTTAACCAAAATGTAAATATTAAAATAAAAACTAATTCAAAATATTAAGAAAAGCCATAATAGTATCTCAATGATAATAACTGAAACTTTTAAATAACTGAAACTTTTTTAAACTGAAAATTTTATTTCAGCTGGGCAACATTTCAAATTTTTGTTTAGTGTGAGTTGCAAGTAGTAAAGTAACTAAAACTATACTGACACGTTAAAAACATATAAAAATTACTAAAACTTTAAAATTAAAATTAAAACAGAAAATACAAAAATAAAGCCTAAATCAAAATATTGGCAAAAACTATAATAGAGTCTTGATGATAATAAAATAACACTGCTGGAAGTCTCTTGCTGGGTATTAGTTTTTGTTTAAGCACAAAAGTAACTAAAACTAAAAACTTTACTGACACATTAAAACACAAATAAAATTCACAAAAACAAGAAAATTACTAACACTTTGAAGTTAAAATGAAATCTAATTCAAAATATCAAAAATATAACAAAAAAAAACATAATACTATCTCAATGACACTATAAAAATAACTCAAACTTATTTTATTTCAGCTAGGCAACAGTTCTAATTTTTTTATTCTAGTTTAGTGTGAGTTACAGTACTAAAGTAACTAAAATTTAATAAAAAATATACAGACACGTTAAAAACTACAAAAACTACAATATTACTAAACCTTAAAAATGAAAACAGAAAATATAAAAATAAAACATAATACAAAATATTAACAAAAACTCTCTCAATGACAGAAAGAAAACAGAGGCAGAAAGAGTTCACAGGTGTGTTACAGAAGCAGAAAGAGTTCACAGGTGTGTTACAGAAGCAGAAAGAGTTCACAGGTGTGTTACAGAAGCAGAAAGAGTTCACAGGTGTGTTACAGAAGCAGAAAGAGTTCACAGGTGTGTTACAGAAGCAGAAAGAGTTCACAGGTGTGTTAGAGAAGCAGAAAGAGTTCACAGGTGTGTTACAGAAGCAGAAAGAGTTCACAGGTGTGTTACAGAAGCAGAAAGAGTTCACAGGTGTGTGACAGAAGCAGAAAGAGTTCACAGGTGTGTAACAGAAGCAGAAAGAGTTCACAGGTGTGTTACAGAAGCAGAAAGAGTTCACAGGTGTGTTACAGAAGCAGAAAGAGTTCACAGGTGTGTTACAGAAGCAGAAAGAGTTCACAGGTGTGTAACAGAAGCAGAAAGAGTTCACAGGTGTGTTACAGAAGCAGAAAGAGTTCACAGGTGTGTGACAGAAGCAGAAAGAGTTCACAGGTGTGTGACAGAAGCAGAAAGAGTTCACAGGTGTGTGACAGAAGCAGAAAGAGTTCACAGGTGTGTGACAGAAGCAGAAAGAGTTCACAGGTGTGTTACAGAAGCAGAAAGAGTTCACAGGTGTGTAACAGAAGCAGAAAGAGTTCACAGGTGTGTAACAGAAGCAGAAAGAGTTCACAGGTGTGTAACAGAAGCAGAAAGAGTTCACAGGTGTGTAACAGAAGCAGAAAGAGTTCACAGGTGTGTTACAGAAGCAGAAAGAGTTCACAGGTGTGTTACAGAAGCAGAAAGAGTTCACAGGTGTGTGACAGAAGCAGAAAGAGTTCACAGGTGTGTTACAGAAGCAGAAAGAGTTCACAGGTGTGTTACAGAAGCAGAAAGAGTTCACAGGTGTGTTACAGAAGCAGAAAGAGTTCACAGGTGTGTAACAGAAGCAGAAAGAGTTCACAGGTGTGTGACAGAAGCAGAAAGAGTTCACAGGTGTGTGACAGAGGCAGAAAGAGTTCACAGGTGTGTAACAGAAGCAGAAAGAGTTCACAGGTGTGTAACAGAAGCAGAAAGAGTTCACAGGTGTGTTACAGAAGCAGAAAGAGTTCACAGGTGTGTTACAGAAGCAGAAAGAGTTCACAGGTGTGTTACAGAAGCAGAAAGAGTTCACAGGTGTGTTACAGAAGCAGAAAGAGTTCACAGGTGTGTTAGAGAAGCAGAAAGAGTTCACAGGTGTGTTACAGAAGCAGAAAGAGTTCACAGGTGTGTAACAGAAGCAGAAAGAGTTCACAGGTGTGTAACAGAAGCAGAAAGAGTTCACAGGTGTGTAACAGAAGCAGAAAGAGTTCACAGGTGTGTTAGAGAAGCAGAAAGAGTTCACAGGTGTGTTAGAGAAGCAGAAAGAGTTCACAGGTGTGTAACAGAAGCAGAAAGAGTTCACAGGTGTGTGACAGAAGCAGAAAGAGTTCACAGGTGTGTTAGAGAAGCAGAAAGAGTTCACAGGTGTGTGACAGAAGCAGAAAGAGTTCACAGGTGTGTAACAGAAGCAGAAAGAGTTCACAGGTGTGTTACAGAAGCAGAAAGAGTTCACAGGTGTGTTAGAGAAGCAGAAAGAGTTCACAGGTGTGTAACAGAAGCAGAAAGAGTTCACAGGTGTGTGACAGAAGCAGAAAGAGTTCACAGGTGTGTAACAGAAGCAGAAAGAGTTCACAGGTGTGTTACAGAAGCAGAAAGAGTTCACAGGTGTGTTACAGAAGCAGAAAGAGTTCACAGGTGTGTAACAGAAGCAGAAAGAGTTCACAGGTGTGTAACAGAAGCAGAAAGAGTTCACAGGTGTGTTACAGAAGCAGAAAGAGTTCACAGGTGTGTAACAGAAGCAGAAAGAGTTCACAGGTGTGTAACAGAAGCAGAAAGAGTTCACAGGTGTGTTACAGAAGCAGAAAGAGTTCACAGGTGTGTAACAGAGGCAGAAAGAGTTCACAGGTGTGTAACAGAAGCAGAAAGAGTTCACAGGTGTGTAACAGAAGCAGAAAGAGTTCACAGGTGTGTAACAGAAGCAGAAAGAGTTCACAGGTGTGTTAGAGAAGCAGAAAGAGTTCACAGGTGTGTAACAGAAGCAGAAAGAGTTCACAGGTGTGTAACAGAAGCAGAAAGAGTTCACAGGTGTGTTACAGAAGCAGAAAGAGTTCACAGGTGTGTAACAGAAGCAGAAAGAGTTCACAGGTGTGTAACAGAAGCAGAAAGAGTTCACAGGTGTGTAACAGAAGCAGAAAGAGTTCACAGGTGTGTTAGAGAAGCAGAAAGAGTTCACAGGTGTGTAACAGAAGCAGAAAGAGTTCACAGGTGTGTTACAGAAGCAGAAAGAGTTCACAGGTGTGTAACAGAAGCAGAAAGAGTTCACAGGTGTGTAACAGAAGCAGAAAGAGTTCACAGGTGTGTAACAGAAGCAGAAAGAGTTCACAGGTGTGTTACAGAAGCAGAAAGAGTTCACAGGTGTGTAACAGAAGCAGAAAGAGTTCACAGGTGTGTAACAGAAGCAGAAAGAGTTCACAGGTGTGTTAGAGAAGCAGAAAGAGTTCACAGGTGTGTAACAGAAGCAGAAAGAGTTCACAGGTGTGTTACAGAAGCAGAAAGAGTTCACAGGTGTGTAACAGAAGCAGAAAGAGTTCACAGGTGTGTTAGAGAAGCAGAAAGAGTTCACAGGTGTGTAACAGAAGCAGAAAGAGTTCACAGGTGTGTTACAGAAGCAGAAAGAGTTCACAGGTGTGTAACAGAAGCAGAAAGAGTTCACAGGTGTGTAACAGAAGCAGAAAGAGTTCACAGGTGTGTTAGAGAAGCAGAAAGAGTTCACAGGTGTGTAACAGAAGCAGAAAGAGTTCACAGGTGTGTTACAGAAGCAGAAAGAGTTCACAGGTGTGTAACAGAAGCAGAAAGAGTTCACAGGTGTGTTAGAGAAGCAGAAAGAGTTCACAGGTGTGTTACAGAAGCAGAAAGAGTTCACAGGTGTGTAACAGAAGCAGAAAGAGTTCACAGGTGTGTTACAGAAGCAGAAAGAGTTCACAGGTGTGTAACAGAGGCAGAAAGAGTTCACAGGTGTGTAACAGAAGCAGAAAGAGTTCACAAGTGTGTAACAGAAGCAGAAAGAGTTCACAGGTGTGTTACAGAAGCAGAAAGAGTTCACAGGTGTGTAACAGAAGCAGAAAGAGTTCACAGGTGTGTAACAGAAGCAGAAAGAGTTCACAGGTGTGTAACAGAAGCAGAAAGAGTTCACAGGTGTGTTACAGAAGCAGAAAGAGTTCACAGGTGTGTAACAGAAGCAGAAAGAGTTCACAGGTGTGTTACAGAAGCAGAAAGAGTTCACAGGTGTGTAACAGAAGCAGAAAGAGTTCACAGGTGTGTAACAGAAGCAGAAAGAGTTCACAGGTGTGTAACAGAAGCAGAAAGAGTTCACAGGTGTGTTACAGAAGCAGAAAGAGTTCACAGGTGTGTAACAGAAGCAGAAAGAGTTCACAGGTGTGTAACAGAAGCAGAAAGAGTTCACAGGTGTGTAACAGAAGCAGAAAGAGTTCACAGGTGTGTAACAGAAGCAGAAAGAGTTCACAGGTGTGTAACAGAAGCAGAAAGAGTTCACAGGTGTGTAACAGAAGCAGAAAGAGTTCACAGGTGTGTAACAGAAGCAGAAAGAGTTCACAGGTGTGTAACAGAGGCAGAAAGAGTTCACAGGTGTGTAACAGAAGCAGAAAGAGTTCACAGGTGTGTAACAGAAGCAGAAAGAGTTCACAGGTGTGTTAGAGAAGCAGAAAGAGTTCACAGGTGTGTAACAGAAGCAGAAAGAGTTCACAGGTGTGTGACAGAAGCAGAAAGAGTTCACAGGTGTGTTACAGAAGCAGAAAGAGTTCACAGGTGTGTAACAGAAGCAGAAAGAGTTCACAGGTGTGTTAGAGAAGCAGAAAGAGTTCACAGGTGTGTAACAGAAGCAGAAAGAGTTCACAGGTGTGTTACAGAAGCAGAAAGAGTTCACAGGTGTGTAACAGAAGCAGAAAGAGTTCACAGGTGTGTAACAGAAGCAGAAAGAGTTCACAGGTGTGTAACAGAAGCAGAAAGAGTTCACAGGTGTGTAACAGAAGCAGAAAGAGTTCACAGGTGTGTTAGAGAAGCAGAAAGAGTTCACAGGTGTGTAACAGAAGCAGAAAGAGTTCACAGGTGTGTTAGAGAAGCAGAAAGAGTTCACAGGTGTGTAACAGAAGCAGAAAGAGTTCACAGGTGTGTAACAGAAGCAGAAAGAGTTCACAGGTGTGTTACAGAAGCAGAAAGAGTTCACAGGTGTGTTACAGAAGCAGAAAGAGTTCACAGGTGTGTTAGAGAAGCAGAAAGAGTTCACAGGTGTGTTACAGAAGCAGAAAGAGTTCACAGGTGTGTAACAGAAGCAGAAAGAGTTCACAGGTGTGTTAGAGAAGCAGAAAGAGTTCACAGGTGTGTTACAGAAGCAGAAAGAGTTCACAGGTGTGTAACAGAAGCAGAAAGAGTTCACAGGTGTGTAACAGAAGCAGAAAGAGTTCACAGGTGTGTAACAGAAGCAGAAAGAGTTCACAGGTGTGTAACAGAAGCAGAAAGAGTTCACAGGTGTGTTAGAGAAGCAGAAAGAGTTCACAGGTGTGTAACAGAAGCAGAAAGAGTTCACAGGTGTGTTACAGAAGCAGAAAGAGTTCACAGGTGTGTAACAGAAGCAGAAAGAGTTCACAGGTGTGTAACAGAAGCAGAAAGAGTTCACAGGTGTGTTAGAGAAGCAGAAAGAGTTCACAGGTGTGTAACAGAAGCAGAAAGAGTTCACAGGTGTGTTACAGAAGCAGAAAGAGTTCACAGGTGTGTAACAGAAGCAGAAAGAGTTCACAGGTGTGTTAGAGAAGCAGAAAGAGTTCACAGGTGTGTAACAGAAGCAGAAAGAGTTCACAGGTGTGTAACAGAAGCAGAAAGAGTTCACAGGTGTGTTAGAGAAGCAGAAAGAGTTCACAGGTGTGTAACAGAAGCAGAAAGAGTTCACAGGTGTGTTACAGAAGCAGAAAGAGTTCACAGGTGTGTAACAGAAGCAGAAAGAGTTCACAGGTGTGTTAGAGAAGCAGAAAGAGTTCACAGGTGTGTTACAGAAGCAGAAAGAGTTCACAGGTGTGTAACAGAAGCAGAAAGAGTTCACAGGTGTGTTACAGAAGCAGAAAGAGTTCACAGGTGTGTAACAGAAGCAGAAAGAGTTCACAGGTGTGTAACAGAAGCAGAAAGAGTTCACAGGTGTGTAACAGAAGCAGAAAGAGTTCACAGGTGTGTTACAGAAGCAGAAAGAGTTCACAGGTGTGTAACAGAAGCAGAAGAAGTTCACAGGTGTGTTACAGAAGCAGAACGAGTTCACAGGTGTGTTAGAGAAGCAGAAAGAGTTCACAGGTGTGTTACAGAAGCAGAAAGAGTTCACAGGTGTGTTACAGAAGCAGAAAGAGTTCACAGGTGTGTAACAGAAGCAGAAAGAGTTCACAGGTGTGTAACAGAAGCAGAAAGAGTTCACAGGTGTGTAACAGAAGCAGAAAGAGTTCACAGGTGTGTTACAGAAGCAGAAAGAGTTCACAGGTGTGTAACAGAAGCAGAAAGAGTTCACAGGTGTGTTACAGAAGCAGAAAGAGTTCACAGGTGTGTTACAGAAGCAGAAAGAGTTCACAGGTGTGTTACAGAAGCAGAAAGAGTTCACAGGTGTGTAACAGAAGCAGAAAGAGTTCACAGGTGTGTAACAGAAGCAGAAAGAGTTCACAGGTGTGTTACAGAAGCAGAAAGAGTTCACAGGTGTGTAACAGAAGCAGAAAGAGTTCACAGGTGTGTAAAAGAAGCAGAAAGAGTTCACAGGTGTGTTACAGAAGCAGAAAGAGTTCACAGGTGTGTTACAGAAGCAGAAAGAGTTCACAGGTGTGTAACAGAAGCAGAAAGAGTTCACAGGTGTGTAACAGAAGCAGAAAGAGTTCACAGGTGTGTGACAGAAGCAGAAAGAGTTCACAGGTGTGTTAGAGAAGCAGAAAGAGTTCACAGGTGTGTTAGAGAAGCAGAAAGAGTTCACAGGTGTGTAACAGAAGCAGAAAGAGTTCACAGGTGTGTAACAGAAGCAGAAAGAGTTCACAGGTGTGTTACAGAAGCAGAAAGAGTTCACAGGTGTGTAACAGAAGCAGAAAGAGTTCACAGGTGTGTAACAGAAGCAGAAAGAGTTCACAGGTGTGTAACAGAAGCAGAAAGAGTTCACAGGTGTGTTACAGAAGCAGAAAGAGTTCACAGGTGTGTTACAGAAGCAGAAAGAGTTCACAGGTGTGTTAGAGAAGCAGAAAGAGTTCACAGGTGTGTAACAGAAGCAGAAAGAGTTCACAGGTGTGTAACAGAAGCAGAAAGAGTTCACAGGTGTGTTAGAGAAGCAGAAAGAGTTCACAGGTGTGTAACAGAAGCAGAAAGAGTTCACAGGTGTGTAACAGAAGCAGAAAGAGTTCACAGGTGTGTTACAGAAGCAGAAAGAGTTCACAGGTGTGTTACAGAAGCAGAAAGAGTTCACAGGTGTGTAACAGAAGCAGAAAGAGTTCACAGGTGTGTTACAGAAGCAGAAAGAGTTCACAGGTGTGTAACAGAAGCAGAAAGAGTTCACAGGTGTGTAACAGAAGCAGAAAGAGTTCACAGGTGTGTAACAGAAGCAGAAAGAGTTCACAGGTGTGTAACAGAAGCAGAAAGAGTTCACAGGTGTGTAACAGAAGCAGAAAGAGTTCACAGGTGTGTAACAGAAGCAGAAAGAGTTCACAGGTGTGTTACAGAAGCAGAAAGAGTTCACAGGTGTGTAACAGAAGCAGAAAGAGTTCACAGGTGTGTAACAGAAGCAGAAAGAGTTCACAGGTGTGTAACAGAAGCAGAAAGAGTTCACAGGTGTGTTACAGAAGCAGAAAGAGTTCACAGGTGTGTAACAGAAGCAGAAAGAGTTCACAGGTGTGTAACAGAAGCAGAAAGAGTTCACAGGTGTGTAACAGAAGCAGAAAGAGTTCACAGGTGTGTAACAGAAGCAGAAAGAGTTCACAGGTGTGTTACAGAAGCAGAAAGAGTTCACAGGTGTGTTACAGAAGCAGAAAGAGTTCACAGGTGTGTTAGAGAAGCAGAAAGAGTTCACAGGTGTGTAACAGAAGCAGAAAGAGTTCACAGGTGTGTAACAGAAGCAGAAAGAGTTCACAGGTGTGTTAGAGAAGCAGAAAGAGTTCACAGGTGTGTAACAGAAGCAGAAAGAGTTCACAGGTGTGTAACAGAAGCAGAAAGAGTTCACAGGTGTGTTACAGAAGCAGAAAGAGTTCACAGGTGTGTTACAGAAGCAGAAAGAGTTCACAGGTGTGTAACAGAAGCAGAAAGAGTTCACAGGTGTGTAACAGAAGCAGAAAGAGTTCACAGGTGTGTAACAGAAGCAGAAAGAGTTCACAGGTGTGTAACAGAAGCAGAAAGAGTTCACAGGTGTGTTACAGAAGCAGAAAGAGTTCACAGGTGTGTAACAGAAGCAGAAAGAGTTCACAGGTGTGTAACAGAAGCAGAAAGAGTTCACAGGTGTGTAACAGAAGCAGAAAGAGTTCACAGGTGTGTTACAGAAGCAGAAAGAGTTCACAGGTGTGTAACAGAAGCAGAAAGAGTTCACAGGTGTGTTACAGAAGCAGAAAGAGTTCACAGGTGTGTAACAGAAGCAGAAAGAGTTCACAGGTGTGTAACAGAAGCAGAAAGAGTTCACAGGTGTGTAACAGAAGCAGAAAGAGTTCACAGGTGTGTTACAGAAGCAGAAAGAGTTCACAGGTGTGTTACAGAAGCAGAAAGAGTTCACAGGTGTGTAACAGAAGCAGAAAGAGTTCACAGGTGTGTAACAGAAGCAGAAAGAGTTCACAGGTGTGTAACAGAAGCAGAAAGAGTTCACAGGTGTGTAACAGAAGCAGAAAGAGTTCACAGGTGTGTAACAGAAGCAGAAAGAGTTCACAGGTGTGTAACAGAAGCAGAAAGAGTTCACAGGTGTGTAACAGAAGCAGAAAGAGTTCACAGGTGTGTAACAGAAGCAGAAAGAGTTCACAGGTGTGTAACAGAAGCAGAAAGAGTTCACAGGTGTGTGACAGAAGCAGAAAGAGTTCACAGGTGTGTTACCTGGATGGTGAGGTAAGAGGCGATGAGGCCCCAGTCGTGTTTGCAGTCGCCACAGAGCATCTTCTTGTTCTTGCTAAAGCCACAGAAGGTTTTTGGTTTCTTATGAGGAAAAGTTGTAAAGCGCTCGAACATGGAGCGATCCAGAGCGATGTGATGAGACTCCTGCGGGACAGAGAGAATGAGAAAGATGATAGACAGACAAACAAACAAAGAAACAGAAACATGGCCCTAAAACGAACACATCCTGAGTAAAACTGGGGACACAAAACAGCTTTTATGGCTCTGAAACGTCGTAACACCATACGTTATAGCATATCCTTAAACTGCCTAAAACCTTTGACATAATAACTTGAATTCCCTATGAGATTTTAAGTTAATATTTTAATAAATTAACATTCACGTGTTTATGGTTCGTTAATGCTGGTTAATCGTCATATGTGACCGCACACGCAGGCAAACAAATTAAGCATTTCATTTTTTGGGGAGTTTTAATTGGGTTGTTTTTATTTTAAAACTATTTATTTAAGGTATAGGGCTGCTTGATTTGATGGTGATTATTCTGCATGTTTTAAGATAAATAATTTAAAAAGCTTGAAGTTTGACTTTTTTAAACGTTTTTTTTTAGATAAGTATTTTAATATTTAATTTTTTTAATATAAGTAGTTTAAAAAGCCTGTGGTTTAAAGTTGAAGTATTTTATTTTATTATTTTGAACTAATTGTTAAAAATGAAGAGAAATATATTATTACTGTTATGAGACAATTGTACTTTCCCCGCTTCACTCATGCAGTGCATTTGTGATTTGATAATCACACACATAACGATTTCACATTTATTTCAATTTATTATGCAGCCCTATGTATTAATTTGATGATTTCTTGAATGATGAAGGCCACACCTGCACGACTCTGAGGTCGTCACTCAAGCATGCAAACTTCTTGCACTTCCCGCAGAGGAGCCGGTAACTGCCTTGATTTTTGGGTTTTTCGGGACTGGCGCTGACGTGATCCCTCCGGGCCTTATCTTCTCTCTGCAACCTGTCCACCTGAACACACACACACACACACACAGATCAAGCGCTGGACGTCACGCAGCAGAGGCGCACTGATGTTTAAAACATCCAGTGAAAGTGCAGAACCTTGTAACTGAGATCATGGAGGCTCTGCAGTTCCACGATCGCCTCCTCCACGATTTTCTCCTTAAACATGTTTATTTTCTCCTTCATAATGCGATCCTTATTACTGGAGATCAGGAAACACCGACTGCCCTGCGCACGACCGCGACCTACACACACACACACACACACACACACACACAGGTTTGTTTTGTTATCCTTGTAGCAATAGGCATAATGATTTTTATACTGGACAAACTGTATTTTCTATACCCTACACTAACCCTAAACCTGCCCATCACACACACACACACACACACACACACACATGCGCACACACACACACACACACACACACACTTGCCCTACCCTTAAACCCACCCATCACACACACAAACTAACCCTACCCCTAAACCCATCACACACACACACACACTAACACTACCCATCACACACACACACACACACACACACACACACACACACACACACACATACCTACTTAACCACAATGTGAGGACGTATGACTGGGAACCCTACCTTTAGGGACACCCCTTTCTGAAGGGTCTAGAGACAAAAGAAAGACATGACTGCACTTCTGGAGAAGCTGTCATCACACTTATCACTTGATTTTATTAATAAAAGTCTTCCTTAAAGACCTGACATTTTGCCTTCACTTTAGGGACAGTATTTTTTATGTCCATTTTGGGGACATTAAACACAAACTCTGATCAAGTCATACTTTGAGGACCATGGTGATACACAGACTCTGGTTAAGTCATACTTTGAGGACCATGGTGATACACAGATTCTGGTAAAGGTATAATATCAGGACTTTGTTGAGATGGTATATATTTAGTGAGTAAACAGTTTTTTATTTTTATTTTTATTTCGTCAAGATCACAGAAAATGGGTAGCCAACATTTTTGTCTGATTTGTAGCTTGAGATGAAGTGTCCTTCACTGCTCAGTTGGGGAATGACAATTAACATTCAGAAATATTATTCATTTGACTGTATTTGATTGATTGACTATCAGAGAGAACCAAAGATGGAACTGAAGACAATAGTGTCATTATTCAGCTCAATTCTATTTCAACTGTAAAACAGCTCTACAGAAGTCATTTAATAATTGCTGAAATTTTACAAGTTATGTGCCTGAAGTAGAGGTCAGCACAGGCTTTAAACTTAAGCCCAAACCCGGCCCGTACCCGAAATCATTTAACCTGACCCGAACATTACGGTTATATTTTAAGCCTGAGCCCGACCCAAACCCGAGGTCCGTTTCTCAGTAAATTGCTTTTTTTTTGTGCAATATGCTGTATTTTATGATTGCTTGCCACGATAATTAAAAAAATAAGCTACATGTACAAACACCGTTTCACCAAGGCACATCGGCCCCTCATCAGTCAGCACACAAGAAAAAAAAGAGAAAAAGCACAGAACTTACTAATTACGAAACTTTGATGAGGTTGAAAAGGTGAAACAGTCATAAATTCCCCTGGAACCCAAACATTAAACTTCATAAAGTTTGCGCAGTTGCACAACTATTTACACAAATATAGCCTATCCTTCTCAGTCCGAGTTATGAATGAAGGGAACAGCATCGCGAGCTGATGTTTCAGCGCATCCTCTGACTGCGTGTTGTGACTGAAATTGTGTGTGCGGGAGCACATGCACAAAAAAGTTTTGTAAAATGATATATGATAAAATAAAAATGATTCATATATCATTTTACAAAATTGTTTTGTTTGTTATTTCGATCACATCACAATCAGAGGAGGACGGCTGAAACTGCACACATCTACTTTCTCTCTCGCGTGATCGTATAATTACGATCACAACACAGCAAGCAGCCGAGCACACGGCACGCAAACTAATATATATATATATAGCCTAAATAGTTTTTCTAAGACCACGGCCTGCATCCCTCTAGTTAATTTAGCATCGACTGCAAAATAATCATTATCACAAAAACATCTTGAGTCTTTGGCTACTCACTGGTAGCCTGGTTCTACCAGACTCTCGTACATTTCATTTGTACAGAGAGTCTGGCCTCGCTCCATTGAGAAACGTTTACTTCCTTGTAGGCGGGTTCTCTGTTAAAGTTCAAAACTATTGGATCTGCCCAGCGTCACTCAGGATCTGCCATAGCCAATCGCTAACGTGTGGTCGTGACGTATGTCATGCGCCGTAACCGGCTGGAAACAACAAGTCCGAATTCCATATTCATAAATCTAAATATCTAAATGCTAAACCTCTCTTTCTTATATTTGTGAAAGAATTTTAAAAATACCTCTTTTCAATTAAGTTGTCTGAGAACAAAAAAAGCCTTAAAAACATTAACTGTTTGTAATTATTTTCCTTTTTCAGTGTCATGTAATTCTCTTAACTTGTTCATGTTTATTTTATATTATCCTCCTACTGTTTTATTTTTGTTTTGTTTTTATTATTATTTTTTGTTTGTTTTTGTATTATGTTTTCTGTTATTACTTGTGTATTGTTTTAAGCAATAAAAAAACAAGTCCGAATGATCAGAGGATTATGTTTAGAATAAGATGTCTGTCAACGAGAGCTGCATGTTTTGTTCATCGAATTTAAGAGTTCAAGGAACAATTCTAAATTCTAAATGTTTATTTGACACTAAGGACAGTGATGTATTCAGTCAACTGTCGAAGCTGGGTGTAATCATTAACAATACGCCGCTGCGGTCGTTTCGGATCTGCCGCAAATGCTGTACAGTGATCATCGTGCACGCCGAGCTGCCCAGCACCAACTCCTAACCTTTCTGCCTCCCTCACTTGGTCCTCCATTAGTGCAACAAGAGGAGACGACAACAACTATCGGCTTTGCATCCTATCGTTCGCCTTAGCTAACTCATTCACCACTAGCGGAGTGAGCTGGAAAATTAAACTTTTCCCGAACCCCTTGGGGAGGAGGGCCACAACATCATGGCCACCAACAACACTTAGCAAACATTGATCTTGCTCCGGCTTTAACTTCTGGATATTCGGCAGTTTTGCAACAACGGACCGAATAGATTTTCTCACGTCTTTCTCCGCTGCCATTACTGAACTCCAACTCAAACTGACGCGCTACATCAACGTCATCGTTCTCAGCCACTCCCTCTGTTCGCTGATTGGACCGGTAAAAAAATTATTTCTGGAAACCAAAGTCTACAGCACAATCCCAGACGTAGTACTGAAGGAAAATAAAATTGAGCGGAAGTGCGTAGGAGGGCGGAGCCAGGCTAACTCACTGGGGCTTTAACACATTAGTCATGTTCTTCTGTAAAGTGTAGTAATTGTCCAAAAAACAAACAAAAAAAACACACACTTCAATTAAATGACTCTTTGGGGACTTGATAGACACACACACACTCCGATTAAATGACTCTTTGGGGACTTGAGAGACACACACACTCCGATTAAATGACTCTTTGGGGACTTGAGAGACACACACACTCCGATTAAATGACTCTTTGGGGACTTGAGAGACACACACACTCCGATTAAATGATTCTTTGGGGACTTGAGAGACACACACACACTCCGATTAAATGACTCTTTGGGGACTTGAGAGACACACACACTCCGATTAAATGACTCTTTGGGGACTTGAGAGACACACACACACTCCGATTAAATGACTCTTTGGGGACTTGAGAGACACACACACTCCGATTAAATGACTCTTTGGGGACTTGAGAGACACACACACACACTCCGATTAAATGACTCTTTGGGGACTTGAGAGACACACACACACACTCTGATTAAATGATTCTTTGGGGACTTGAGAGACACACACACTCCGATTAAATGACTCTTTGGGGACTTGAGAGACACACACACACACACACACACTCCGATTAAATGACTCTTTGGGGACTTGAGAGACACACACACTCCGATTAAATGACTCTTTGGGGACTTGAGAGACACACACACTCCGATTAAATGACTCTTTCGGGACTTGAGAGACACACACTCCAAGTAAATGACTCTTTGGGGACTTGAGAGACACACACACTCCGATTAAATGACTCTTTGGGGACTCGAGTGACACACACTCCAATTAAATGACTCTTTAATATTAACAGTCTTGAACACATTGTGTTGAAAGTACACATTGCAGTTAATGACAGAAATTCAAAAACATAAAAAAAAAAAAAAAGAACAATGAAAAATCAATTAACTTGGAGGTGGGAATGATTCTCAGTGCACAACCATCCTCGATATTTCCTCCATCCACCCATCAAAATCTCTACCTCCTCCTTTACCTTCACTCCTCCCTCTTTACCTTCACTCCTCCCTCTTTTCAACCTCTTTACCTTCACTCCTCCCTCTTTTCCATCCTCTTTACCTTCACTCCTCCCCATTTTCTCCCTCTTTACCTTCACTCCTCCCTCTTTTCCATCCTCTTTACCTTCACTCCTCCCCCATTTTCTCCCTCTTTACCTTCACTCCTCCCTCTTTTCCATCCTCTTTACCTTCACTCCTCCCTCTTTTCTCCCTCTTTACCTTCACTCCTCCCTCTTTTCCATCCTCTTTACCTTCACTCCTCCCCCATTTTCTCCCTCTTTACCTTCACTCCTCCCTCTTTTCCATCCTCTTTACCTTCACTCCTCCCTCTTTTCTCCCTCTTTACCTTCACTCCTCCCTCTTTTCCATCCTCTTTACCTTCACTCCTCCCCCATTTTCTCCCTCTTTACCTTCAATCCTCCCTCTTTTCCATCCTCTTTACCTTTACTCCTCCCTCTTTTCAACCTGTTTACCTTCACTCCTCCCTCTTTTCAACCTGTTTACCTTCACTCCTCCCTCTTTTCCATCCTCTTTACCTTCACTCCTCCCCATTTCCTCCCTCTTTACCTTCACTCCTCCCTCTTTCATCCTTTACATTAGCTGTGTTGGACATGGGCTGTGGCTGGATGTAACCGATCGGTGAGAGTTGCCGTGTGGAGGCGGGAGGAGCTGAAAACTGAGACGTGAGTTTGACTCTTTCTGCTTCCCGTAGTGACGCTTGCGCTGTGTTTGCATACTTTACCACAGCTGAAGTGGAATAAATGCATTATTTGCCAAATACACCGATATTTCAGAGACATTTTGATTCAATACATGTACTGCTTAATACAGCGTCTGTTTGTACAAGAATATAGTTCAACATAAGCCT